ATTTCATCCATCCAAAAACAATCATCATCTTTTCTTCAGCTCAATATTTCATAGTCTTTAACACATCAAAAGTGACTTCCAGGTCATTAATATTCATAGTCAGCTCTCCTTTTTGCACGTCTATCCTAACTTGTCCAGTAACAAGAAAGGTCCACCCAAAATAATGGGAATTTCTTTATCTTCCTCAATATCTAATACAATATAGTCCATAGGAAAGATAAATTTATCCACTTTAACAAGAACGTCTTCTATAACCCCTTTTGGATAAATGATAGATAAATTGGATAAATGATAGATCGATCAGCTAACTGAAGAGTTACAATAGTGGAAGAAATATCGGCTAAACCTAACCTTCAAAAAATAGATAGAGGCATCACATTAACGCTCACTCCTAAATCACATAAGGCTTTTCCACATAATCTTTCTCTAATTGCATATAGAATTGTAAACCTATAAGGATCTTTAAGTTTATGAGGAAGCTTTTTCTGAAGTATAGCGCTGCACTCCTCACTCAGTGCAACTGTCTCGTAATTCCCAAATTTTATTTTCTTATTTAATCTCTCCTTCATAAATTTTGCATAACTTGACATCTATTCTAAAGCTTCAACTAAATGACTATTTATCGTTAACTTCTTAAGCACTTCCATGAACTTTGAAAATTATTTATTTGAAAATTGTTTCTTTGAAAATTATTTATCTAACCTTTGATGTCTAAGTCTTTGAGGAAATGGAGGTGGTGGTCTTTCTAAATTGATTTTAGTTGGAGACATTAATTTTTTTGGACTCTTAGAAACATGTTCGTCAGGTCTTCTAGTTTCCTTTGTTTCTCTCACAATTTTTTTCTCTTTTCTAATGACATCCTTTATCTCTTCCACTTCTTAATTGGAAAACATCTACATGTTCATTATTGTTCTTTTTAGGGTTGATCTCAGTGTTGCTATGAAGTGTTCCTTGTGTTATATTGCTAAGTGAATTAGTAATTTGTCCCGGTCGATTCTCTATATTTCTAATCACAACACTTTGACTTTGCAATTGATTTCTCATTTGCAATACCACTACTTCTATAGACATCTTCTTATCCTCAAGTTATCAATCATTATTAGAGTCCAGAGAATATGAAGGCCTGTAATTTGTGTTCCTCTATTTATTCCAACTTCCATTAGGATTTGCATGATTTTTTTTCGCATTGTTGGTTTCCACCCCAAATAGTGTGATTCCAGTTAAAATTAAGATGGTTCTTCCAACATGGGTCGTAAAAGTTAGAATACAAGTTATTTTTTATATTTAAAGTCTCATATGATAAGTTAGAATCAATCATATGCCCTAATGAACTTTCCTCACTTACTGGAGTAAATTGAGGTTGTTTCATTCCAAATTAGTCAAACTTCCTTG